TGACACAATAACTTAGTCATTAAAATCAGAGACAGATTATAGAAATAGTTTTCTGTTTTTAAAACCATACCAGAAATAAACTCAGTAGAATGTGAATTGGTGCAGCCACTATGGAAAACAGTATGGAACTTCCTTAAAAAACTAAAAACAGAGTTACCAGATGATCCAGCAATCCCACTCCTGGGCAAATATTTGGAAAAGATGAAAACTCTAGTTCAAAAAGATATGTGAACACCAGTGTTCACAGCAGCTGTATTTACAACAGCCAAGCCATGGAAACAACCTAAGTGTCCATTGACAAGATGACTGGATAAAAAAGATGTGGAATACAATGGACTATTACTCAGCCATAGGGATCTCATGTTCCTTTGATATTTAAAAGGAGGCCTCAGGAGAAGAGAAGGACCTGGAAGATGACAGCTGTCAGTAAGGGAGGGAGGGGCGACAGGTCTGAATGAGGAAACAAGGACAAGAGGCAGATGAGAGGACTGAGGACTGAAAGAGTCAGGGAAATCTAGACACTTTCCAGCCTGGAAGAGAAGATGGAAGCTCTGACGAGGGGGTCATGGTGGTGCTACTTTTATACACTTTGGTCCTAAATAGACCAACAAGCAAGACGCTGGGTAATGTCACCAGGGTTAAACAGACCATTTACATACTGTCATCTAGCAACATTACCTCACTAGATCCTTATAGATAAGCTTTGTTGTTTCCAGATATGGATCAAGCACATCTTCGTATTGACAAAGGGCTCCACCGAGGCAAAGATGTTTGAAAAGACAGAACAAGAACTCTTCTCTATCTGGCTGGCTGAATACTTCATATTTTTCTGAGTCTTCTGCTAGCAAAACCTACTGAGACAAAATTCATCTTAATGTAACATAATTTAAGGTTCTAATTTTTATGTTTTCAAAAGTTTTGATTTATACAATTGAAAATAATTTGAGACCTATTTTAAGAACCAATCGTGAGGCAGCAGAGAAAGTGATCTGTGAGATTGGCACTTGCTTTCGCTCCGTCTCATCGTTAGGTGCCGACACTCGGTGAAAGGAGTAACTCTAAACCTTCTCTTCCTCTTCTTTATGTCTTTGTTCTAGTTCATGTCTTTAGCAATAGTTTTAGTGCTACTGCAATTTTAGTGTTGAGTCCCCTGGAATAGCATTTGGAAACAATGGGAGCAGAAATAAATGGAGAAACTTCTCCCTCCCATGAGGTCCATAGTCTTTGCTTCTACTGAGAAGCTAAACACAAATGGTCATTTTCTAAGCCTTCTCATCTTACAGTGTTCAGATCACTGCTTTCCTTATGCCCACAGTTACTCCATTTTGAACTGCTCAGGTTAACTGGAAGCTCATAATCACCTCGCCATTTCCTGTTCTCCTCTAATTATATTACCTCACACATCACCAATCTACATGGACTCTTGCTCTCGAGACCTTGCTGCCTCTTTGAGAAAAGAATTTGACTAGGTCGGATGTGGGGATTTTCTGACACGACCGGGCCTTACAGACGTTTGCTTGACTTGTTGACTGTGGTGGACAGGAACAAGGTGATAAATGTACACTATAAAATAGATCCCTTTAATTGAATTGCTTATACCCCAGCTACTTGAAAAAAGAAATGTGAAATAACAATAAAACCTACAGGAAGATAAAAATAATCAAAGACAGAGGACTGTAACCAAGATATAAAGTGAGAAGAGAAAAATAAACACTCAAAAGTAACTCTAGCTGGAGAAAAGCCATAAAAATTGGGCATAACACTTAGCACTACTGTACAGGGAAAGGAGAGGGAATGAGTTACATAACAATCACTGTCTAGCAGCAAGAAGCACACTATTTATTAGGAAAATTGATTAAACTTAACATTTTATTTACCCCCATCTCAAACGAAAATTCATCACAAGGTCATGGTAAAAGAGGCATTTAAAAATAATAAATTCTATAGTGTTGTCTACAAATAATTTACTTACAATGACTCAGTGAAAGCCAAAGATATATATGGTTAAAGATAGGTACGGGGAAGTGGTCCATAGTTTGCTGCTCTCTGTGTGTGTCACATGTAACACTTGTACATTTCCCTCCCTCATCCCCCAACCCCCCGGTAAGGAAATGATGTGATATTCAAGTTCAAGTTTGCAGCTACCTAAGGTTCTGACTTACTAAAAGGGTGACTAAAGCTCTTAGGGATGAAGAGGTCACATATTCCTTACACGAGGACTCAGGTCTTGAATTGATTGGGCTGTGCAATGAAAAAATTACAATAATTTAAACATTTTTTTTGGAGTGAATGTTAAAACAGTAACATTCTGTATGTGATCTCCCTCTCTGTTCACAAACAGATCCGTTTGCTTGTGCAGTCCTCGGAGAGCAGGTAGGCAACAGTTAATGAGTTCAGCTTCCGAGCCGCAGGCAGGGAGGAGGTTATTAGCGGCACTCACGTTACACAGTGTGCCAACAGGATCTGTGTGCTGCACAACGGGAGGGCCCTTTTTAGTTCAGGCTGAAGCTGGAAGTTATTTATATATATTTTTTCAGTCAGAAAGCAACCAAGTTAGAGCCCTCCCTGTTGCCACAGAGTGGCAGGGAACACAGGGCAAAACATACAGGCAACTGGCAAAAAAGAGTCCCAGCATTTCCTGAACAGAGGTGCTATTCACGGCAACAAATAAGACAGGGAGCAGCAGGCAGTTTTGCGGAGTATTCTGTTGAAAAGCAAATCCTCCTTTTCAAAAGCCCATCGCTGAGGCTCTCTCTGTAGAGGTGATGGTGGACTCTTTGAAATCAGGGGAATGGCCTTGAGACAAAGAGGTAGGTATGCCAGCCCAGATAAGCGACAGAGAGAAGAGCTGAGATTGGTAAGTAGAAGGAAAGAAGGAGGAAAACTCAAACTAGACCAGATATTTTCTGGATGTTAATTTCCAATCCTTCGTAAGGGCAAATAGAAATTACGATCAGATTGACACTATAATGGTACTTATATTATCTTGTGTTATATGCAAATATACTTCACTTAACTAAGGAACAAACTACACATACAGTCATTTAACTATGGGAGTCTGGTTATTCTCAATCAGTTAATTTTATTTTCTTCTTAAACTGAGAGTTCCTTTAGGCACGGTCCTAATGCAGATCAATGTATAGACTGGCTGCATGCCCCCTGGTCGCCTAGAGACACGATTCCTGCGCCCAGAATGTTGCATCAGTAGCTTCCCCAGTTCATTTCTACCTGGATTTGCAATACATTAGGCATTAGCGCATCTCCCTTCTCTCTTAATGTTGAATAATAAAAATAATACTTAGTAGCAGTTGTTAATATTATCGGAAGCTTACTAAGTGCTGGGCATTATGTAAAGCACTTTGAATGCGTTACCTCACACAATTCTTACATTACTCCTGACTTATAGATGAAGAAACTGAGGCTGAAAGAGGTTAAGTATGACAGTTATCAAGTGCAGAGCCTGGATCTGAACCTACGTCGATTTGATAGCCCTAACTTTTGACCACTTTGTCAATCCTGTTTCTCAATAATTAAAATAATGATAATAATACTACTTCATTTTAACAGCATTTCATAAAATGCTTTCTCAACTCATTTTCTCAACAATTTCAGGAAGAAGCTAGAATGGGCATTTTAATTTCCATCTGGTACAGAAAAGATCTTGAGGCTCAAGATACTGAATGATTTGCCAAAGGTGATTGTTTATCTTGTAAATAATAAATCAGGAATTAGGTAAATAATCCATGTCTTCTGATTCCAAATTCAGTACACCTCTCATTAAAATAAAAGTTAACTTAGTTAATCAAACAGCTCTTTGATCTCAGCCTTGAGATAAAAAGATTCTTTTACTCAGGGACGTTTTTATTCATTTGGTATGTTAGGAGAAAATATTAAAGAAAAATAGTCATCAATTCAACAGACCAGGGTTTCTCTTCCTTAGCACTGTTGGTATTGGGACCAGATAGCTTTGTTGTGGGGGACTGTCCTGTGCTTTGTACAAAGTTTAGCAGCATCCCTGACCTCTAACCAGGAGATGCCAATGGAACTCTGCTGAGAACTAATGAAATACATAAATAATTAAGTTGACAGGAAGAGTCCCAACCAAGAAGAAACCTACCAGTGTAATGATTGTCACTGATCATTATTTATTGATAAGAGGCATTTTATGGGTTTTAGGCAGGCAAAAGGTTTTGACATTAAGCATTTCCTGAAATGAAATTCTACTGTGAAAATTTAAAATTCTGTACTTACTTTTCGTAACTCATCAGAAATAAGGAAGGGATCACAAAAAGAATCTAAACATTTAACAATATGTCCATTGTCTCGTACAATATCTTCATCATATAACCGATCAAAAAATGACATTGAAAGCTGTGTGCAAGGAACATTTATAGCTTCAATTTTTTTCACTTCAGTTCCTGAACAGAGATATAAAAATTAATTTAGTATTCTCAATTATTTCCAAAACAAATACCACTATGCAGACATTTTAAGAAGTAACCAAATATGACATGTTTTGATAAATTTAGGAGACACATTAGTTTAGGGATTTTATCAAATTCTTATTTTGCAGGTTGTTTATTTTTCATTAATCATTGAAGGTTTATAACAAAATCTCACCATTTCAGGCCTAGATGAAGGATATATAAATGAGAAAATGTTTGAAAATGAAATACATTTACTGTGTAGTAGGGAATTCTTAGATCAGTTTTAATGCATATATCAAAATTACCTATAAAAACACAGAAACTGCTTCATATGATTTTGGATTTGTACCATGCTTAATACTTCGTAATTCATATTATAAAAATTTTAATTAATGTAAGTCAGGGTGTTTCTAAAGTCACTGAGGGTATTTTGAAAATGTTTCTCTCCTTTTAAAATTTTCTCCCCTGTGATCTCACTTACAGGGTTTATTACAAAAAAAAAAAAAAGGTTTTCCAAGTCAAGGTAAATTTCAAGCCAGGCCTTAATCAAGTCATAACAAGCCTGGAATTAGAGAAATTTGAAATCATGGTGTTCTGTCTGTTTTTCTCTTGCAGCTCCAGTCCTCCCCACTCCCATACCTCCGCCCACCCCACATTTACTTCCTGAATGTGTCTTTTACGAATGGATTTTCTGTTACTAGAGAGAAGGTCTACTAAATTACAAAAAGACACAAACATCAAAGTGAGTTTTTTTTTATTGTTGCCTCAATGAATCACTCAATCAACTTCTCTCTTTTTTGCACCTACATATACACACACGCACTCACTCAGATGTAAATGGGTGGAGCTCTTCTTTTCCAAAGCTCTGGAGAGATTGCACACCCAAGATGCGGCGGCAATACATTGGCTGGATCTCTGACCTGAGAAGCAGCCTGAGCTTGAGAAGAGTAATATGGGTGATTATTTGCACTTCCTGCTCCGGGCTGTCCACCCGAGTCCTGCTAGGACCTGTTGCTCTCGTTTTGATCCTGAGCTGGGCTAGCGTAGAGGAAAGAAGAATGCCTAGAGCCAAGAACTGTGTATGCTTTGGTTATTTCAAAAGCTACACTGCTCAGAAAAGCTCCTTTTGTTTCAGAGGCAAAAATCCTCTGGGGGATTAAAGTGAAAACAAAACCACAGAAAATGACAGAAAAGGTCTGAGCAATACTGGAAGACCAAAGAACAAGAGAGGGCAAAGCCAGACAATCTTCAAAGATAGGCTGGTGGCCACAGGATGAGGGACTGACACTGGGCAACGTGCCATTTTAATAAATCGACTCTAGCTCTGATTTGGGGAGTGGCAAGAGGGTGTGGATGGTCAGAGGAGGTAATTAAATTCAAACCACTTAATCTGAGGCATAGAAATAACATTTGCTATGGACTGAGTTGTTTCCCTCCAAAATGCAGCATGTCAAAGCCCTAATCCTCAGTGTGATTGGATTCTGAGATGGGAGGTAATTAGGGTTAGTTGAGGTCATGGGTGGGATTAGGAGGACCTCAACATATGAATTTTAAAGGGACACAACTTAGTCCGTAGCATTCTGCTCCTGGCCCTCCCCAATTCATGTCCTTCTCACGTGCAAAATAAATTTATTCTATCCCAACAGCCCCCAAAGTCTTAACTCATTCCAGCATGAATGCTTAAGTCTAAAGTCCAAAGTCTCATGGAAAAATCATGTACATCAGATATGAGTGAGACCTGAGGTACAATTCATCCCAAGGCAAAATTCCTCCCCAGCTATGACCCTGTGAAACCAGACACGTTACATGCTTCCAAACTACAACGGTGAGACAGGCACAGGATAGACATCGACATTCCAAAAGGCACAAAGAGGAAAGAAGGAAGCGTGATCGTCCCCTGTAAGCTTTCAACTTGGCAAGACAAATTCCATTAGATTTTAAGCCTCAAGAATAATCCTCTTCGGTTCAACGCTCTGCCTTCCAGACCTACTGAGGCGGCGGCCCCACGTCCACAGTTCTCCCTCCAAGGGGAGTGTGTTGTTGAAACTGAAGGGGTGACCCTGATGATCCGTGAATTGTCTTCTCAGCCTTTCTTCTCTCTTCTTGAAACACAGCACATGCTTGAAGCTGAATGGTCCTATGGTCTGGTCTTGTCGGATCTGAAAAATCTGACAGCCTTCATTTTGTCTCATTTTTTTCTGTCCCCTTTAGTTCAAACTGGGGGTGTCTTTGCTGGTACAAATCCCATCTCTATTCCTGGCTTCTGCTGAAATGGCTGATTAAGTCCATGAGTTGCACCAACGATCTCTTTATCAAATGGTTGCTCCGAGACACACTTATGTGTTCTCTTCAGAATACGTTTTCTCATTTTCTGCAATATGGATATGCTGAGAATTTTCCAAATCTTCAGGTTCTGGTGACTTTTTGTTTCTTCAATTTTCCTTCTTCAATTCATTTCTCTCCTTCCATATTTTATTACAGCCATTCAGGGAGAATCAAGCCATTCCTTCAACACTTTGTTTAGAAGTCTCCTCAGCAAATATCAACTTTATTACCTACAAGTTCTGTCTTACACAAAACACTATAATAGGCCAAGTTCTCTGCCATTTTATAACAGGGACTGAGTTTCCCCTAGTTTCTAATAGCATGTTCCTTGTTTCCAACTGAGACCTCACCAGAATCAACCTTAATATCCACATTCTAGCACGCACCTCAAGCTCTTACAGACTATGCCCATTACACAATTTCAATGCCACTTCCACATTTTCAGATATTTGTTACAGAAGTACTCCACTTGGTACCAAAATCTGCATTAGCCTGCTTGAGCTGCTATCACAAAATATTATGAGCTGGGTTGTTTAAACTGGGTGAACAGACATTTATTTCCCCACAGCTCTGGAGGGTGGGAAGTCTAAAATCGAGATGTCTGCTGATTCAGTTCCTGGTGAGGACTCTCTTCCTCGGTTGCAGACAGCTGCCTTCCAGCTGTGTCCACACACGACAGATTCTTCTTATAAGAACACTAATCCCATCATGAGGGCCCCTCAAGACCTTATCTAAACCTAATTATCTCCCAAAGGCCTCATCTCCAAATGCTGTCACATCTGGGGTTAAAGCTTCAACATAAGAATTTGGGAGGGGGCACAATCCGGTGCACAGTACACCCTATCGGCTACATAGGAGTTTGGTTAAGTCATGTCTCCAGCATTTATAAGCTATACAGTGTATTGCTAAGGTCACACAGAAAGTTAAGAATGTATTTTTTTTCCCCCTTGATACTAGTAGTCTAATACACTGGGCAGGTATCTCCTTTTTATATATATATTTTTTTATTTTTTAAAGTTTAATTAATTAATTAAGTTTTGGTGAGGGGAGTTTATTTAGTATTTATTCTTAAGAGGAGGTACTGGGGGTTGAACCCAGGACCTCATGCATGCAAAGCATGTGCTCTACCATGATCTATACCCTCTCCGCAGGAATCTCCTTTTTATTTAGTGCCCAAGTTGGTGCTTTCCTGGCGACTCCACTGTGGAAAAGACAGAGGCAGGGTGGTCTAGTGGTTGAAGTCTTGAATTCTAGAGTCTGGGTTTGAATCTCAACTCCCCCCAGTCAGCTGCGTAAAAGTGCACAGTTTACTTAGCCTCTGACTCCTCATTTGTGAAACAAGGATACATAATAATACCTGTCTCAGAGTTGTTTGGAGAATTACAGAAGGTAACTGTGCACAATGTGCGTAACTGTGCACAATGTGCTTAGCTGAGCACGTAGGAAGCACCCATTTCATCAGCCAAAAAAGGGGCAAAGTATGTCCAGACAAAGGGAGCTGTGGCAGCTGGCTGAGAGGATGAAGCGGTACCGACAACCTGCAATGTAGGCAACACAGCCAGAAGCAAAGGAGATTCCATCATTACTCTCTTCAAAACCGGTTCACTTGCTAGATGGATGTCTTTTCCCTCATTTAAAAAAGCTGTTTCTTTTGCTTATTAAGGCCCCCAGAGGAAAGTTAGAGAGAAGATGGCCGATCGATGAGAAAAAGAAGACAAGCAAGTAGGAGGAGACAGAAACGAGCTGCTGGGAGGGTACAAGCAACCCGCCAGAAACTTCTGCTTCTGGGACGGAGCGCTGCCTCTCCGGCACTCCTTTTCAGAGCACTTCTAATTGATTCTGTCAGGCACATGGGGAATTTCAGAACCTCTGTTTTTGCACTGCCTTTTTCAAAAATTAGAAAAAAGTCAGCGCTGTTTTGGGAAGTAGGTACCAAAATGGGGGAAGGTGGAACACTCACTGGAACACTTCTTTCAGTGAGCCTTACTTTTTTGTAAACCAGTTTACTGAAGTTACCGCAAACATGCTTTGTAAACGCTGTGATACCTGACTCTATTTCCTTTTGAAGATTTTGAGCTGGTAAATATATCTGCTCAGAGACTCAGTTTAATTATGTTAAGCAGTCTGAAGATCACACTGTACTAGCTTTTTGTTCTATAAATTTGGCAGTGATCTTTAGCCAAAAGGAATAAAATTTGACCTACTAAGTCTAACATCATGAACTGTTTGTAAATTTATTCTTGACTAATACTTTAAGAAAATTTATTTTTGTGTAAGGCTACTAGAGTTCCATAAAAGTGCAATATAAGAATTTAACAAAACAACCTCATCCAATTTAAAATCAGTTTGCATTTTTTTTTTTAGCTCAAATCCACATTACCAACCAGATTCTCCTTCCAAATAGAATGGTGATTTATTCTATTGTTAAGAGGCCTCAACCTAAATTTTAAAATATAGTGTTCATGTTTCTGTTTCCAAAAGTCTTCTATTAACTAATTTATTCTTTGATCTGAGTTATTTGAGAGATCTGAGTGTCATTAAGTGTTTAAGTGTTGGGTAATTTTCTTTAAAGATTTCTAGCTATGTTTCGGTGTACTATGAAAACACTATCTAAAGTTCTCCTGTTGAGAATTTTAGACACTTTCCTCCATAATTTAATCTAATATTATTTTTAAAGAATGTTCCATGGTGGCTGCTTCCTCTGTCAGAAATCATTTCCCTGCCCCAGTTGAGATTTTGCCCAAGCATCCTCACATCAGTGGGACCTTCCCTGACCCTTGCCCCCTGGAAAGAGCTGGCCACGCCCCTCTCTCTGCTCCCACTGCTATGTCAGTGCCTGTGATACATCACTGCGTATATTTTAAAATATATCACTGAGTTCCTTAAGTACAGGTTTTCTCTTATTCACCTTAATGTTCCCTGCATCTGTCAGAGTCCACGGAAGGTGCACAATAGATACACTCCTAACGAGTAAAAAGAGAGAAAAATTGCTCTTGTGCACTAAGCCAGGATAGCAGCAGTGGGCTCCTGGGAGAAAGATGCAGAGCAGGCCTGGCACAGCCGATCACACTTGACCTTGATGTTATCAAACGAGTCCTTATTCACAATTTGTATACTTTTTTAAGTTTACAGCTTGATATTTATTTATTTATTATTGAAGTATAGTCAGTTTACAATGTTGTGTCAGTTTCTGGTGCACAGCAGAATACCTCAGTCATATAGGAACATACATACATTATTTTTCATATTCTTTTTCATTATAAGTTACTACAACACAATCTGTATTTTAATAATGAAAATCCCTGAAGTAAAATTTTGTTATAATAGTAAAATAGTAGTCTCAAAAGATTAAAATAAATTTGGTTTACCTAATGTAATCCACTGTCTGGAAGACTCTGAAAGTACCTTCAAATTGGGAATAACATTTGGGTCTTTGAAGAAAGCCTAGAATATAAATTGGAGGGTAAAACTTAGACATATTATTATAAACATAATAAGAATTAACTTCTAAAATAACTATATATAAATTTGAAGGGAACAACTTAGATATGTTATTATAAACATAATAAGAGCTTTTAAAATAACTATAGTAAAATGTCATTTAATTCAAATTGGGGAAGGATAATTTTAAATTGGTAAAATGTCAAAGTAAGAAGTAAATGTTTCATAAAGAAGTGAAGTTTTGTTACTTTTAAGCTGGAACAGTATGAACAGTAATGCTATTTCCAAACAGATACCTTTGGGACTTAATTTAATAAATAGAAAGTAATGATTTATAGGGAAAAGTAGGAGGATACATCATCTGAAAAGTTTATTTTCCTTCACCCTTGTTTTCCCAATTCATTGACTTAGTAATCACTGCTCCCACTTTAAACTAAATCTGAATGTAACTGCCAATTTATTCTGTCCAAGGGGCTCACAGAAAAGTGACTGACTTGGCTTCTTAAAAATGAAAATTCTCTGTATAGCAAAAGAAAACAAACCAGGCAAGAGTTTTATTTCCAGGGACCAGCAGCTGATTCTGGCTGAAAAGACCTCAAGAGAAACTTACTAAAGCATCCAGGCAGTCCATATAATCTTTAGGAGATGCAGAGGATCAGGCTAAGCGCTGATCCAAAGTCATATGCAGAAGCTGACCTGATGAGGAAACAGCTGTCCTTACTGCAGCCCCAGCCAAGCACTAAAAAACACGGCCGCCTGACCCGACCAAGGCCACTGTGCGCCAGGACTGCCCTGTCCCAACACTGGATGCCTCTGCCACCACTTCTGTCTTTGAGATTCCAGATGCTATGTGACCCAATTTCCTTAAGTTGCTCACTTTGAAAAATTAGTTTTGCCCTGATAAGTCTGATCGGTAACCCTAGATCCCAGGTTTGTGATCTAGTGCATTAGAGGCAAGCCTTACGCAGCAAAGGAAACCATCAACAAAATGAAAAGGTAACCTATTGAAAGGGAGAAGATATTTGCAAATCTGTATCTGATAAGGGGTTCCTATCCAAATTACATAAGGAACTCACGCAGCTCAATAACAAAGCTCCAAACAATGTGATTTTAAAACGGGCAGAGAATCTGAACAGACATTCTTTCACAGAAGACAGATGGCCAATAAGCACATGAAAAGATGCTCATTGCTAATTATCAGGGAAATGTAAATCAAAAGCACAGTGAGGTATCACGTAAGACTTGTAGGAATATCTACCATCAAAAAGACAAGAAATAACAAGTGTTGGCGAGGATGTGGAGCAAAGGGAACCCTCATGCACTGCTGGTGGGAGTGTGAATTCGTGCAGCCACTATGGAAAACAGTATGGAGGTTCCTCAAAAAATTAAAAATAGACTTACCAGATGATCCAGCAATTCCACTTCTGAGTACTTATCTGAAGAAAATGGGAATACTAATTTGAAAAGTTATATGCACCCCTATGTTAACTGCAGTATTATTTATAATAGCCAAGATACAGAAACAACCCAAATGTCCACATGTGGATGAATGGATAAAGAATGGAATACACAATGGACTACTACTCAGTCATAAAAAAAAATGAAACCTTCCATTTGCAACAACATGGATGGACCCGGAGGTATTATACTAAATGAAGTAAGTCAACAGAGAAAGACAAATACTGTATAGCTTCACTTATATGTGTAATCCAAAAAAAAAAAAAAAAGAAAAGAAAAGAAAAATCAAACGAACAAAACAGATACACAGAACACTTTGGTTGTTGCCAGAGGGGAGAAGGGTTGGGTGAAGGGGGTCAAGAGGTACAAACTTCCAGTTATAAATACGTCATGGGGATGAGATGTATAGCACAGTGACTACAGTTAATTATACCTTATGGCATATTTGAAAGTTGCATAGAGAGTAAATCTTGAAAGTTCTCATCATAAAAAAATATTTAGTAATTCTGTATGGTGACAAATGGTAACTAGACTTATTGTGGTGATCATTTTGCAACATATGCAAGTATCTAATTGTTACGTTGTACACTGAAACTAATATTATATGTCAACTATACCTAAAAAAAGGCAAGTGTTTTGGGTTCCACTTCTGAAAAATTAAGAGTGGAAATCACCACAAATCAGATGTATATCAAAAGGTGTTGGGCAGTCAGAAAACATAATGATGTCCATGATGAGCAATAAAAAAAAAGGAAAAACAATAGATTGGGAGGAAATATTTGCAATAAATATGATTTAAAAATTGGAGGGAGGCTGACATCCCCAATGGCTAAAAAATTGCCCTATGTCTATGATAAGAAAAACTGACAACCTGATTTAAACATAGCCAAAGGATACAAAAAAATCATGTAAAAAATACAAGTAGCTGACAAACTTATGAAATAAGATTTCAAGAGCATTGACAGAAATGAAAATAAAAATCAGAAGATATCATTTTTACCCATCACACTGTCAAGATTTTAAAATCTGGTAACTTTTGGTGAGAGTACCAGAAAATATGTGCTCTTAGACACTGCTGGTGGAAGTGTGAACTTTTACAACCTTTTGGGGAAGTGCTGAATATTATCTTGAACACTAAAAGCATGTATATTTTATGATCTAACAAATTCCACTTTGGGGTATGTGTCAGACAAAAACGAAACCACTAGTAGATAAGATTTATGTGTAAGGAATTTTTTTTTATTGTATTGTTCGTAGTGTTTTGACTTGGAACTTCAATGCCCATCAGTGGAAGAATGGTTAAATAAAATGGCTGAATAAAAATAAAATAAAAATGGGTGAACACAGTACATCTACACTAGATGGTATGCAATTATTGGAAAGAAAGTATTGGAGTAGAATGTAAGCTTCATAAGCTTGTTTTTCTTAGTCACTGCTGTTTCCCGAGGGCCCAGAACAGAGCCTGGCATAGAGCAGTTACTCAGTAAACATTTACTGTATTGACTTTGAAGGAAAGCCATATGTATTTTGTGTAAAAAGAGTAATTTAAGAGTAATATGCATGAAAAAAACAACACAAAATAAAGCCTCTATGTATATGCACATAAAGAAAAGTATAGAAGAATATTTATCAAACCGCTGACAACAGTTACTGCAGAAGTGGTGGTTGTAGGCTTGTGGGAAGAAGGGGATTGAGAGGGTAGAATTAGACTGGGATATAGAAAGACTGCTGACTCTGTGAATTGCTCTTTGTTGTTTAGATTGTTGTAATAAATATTTATTTTGACATTCCCTTTAAGCTATCACTCTTTTCCTAAATAATTCGTTGAAAGAGGACTCTATCTTGCTTCACTTCTCTGCCTACCAGTTATTCTTCTTAGCTGTCTACTGCTCCCATCACTGAGCTGAAAGTACACTTGACATCCTAATTCCTAAAGTCAAATGGACACAGTCCCTGCCCTCGTGGAGTTTACAGACTGAAAGGGGAGATATTAAGCAACACACATCATCATCACTATGAAGAAGAGCAGGGCTCTATTGAAGTACATAATAGGTAGACCTAATCTAATGGTTTGGGAAAGAAAGGTAAGTGCAGAAAGAACATTTAGGTTTAGATTTGAAAGATGAGGAGTCAGCTGGGCACAAGGTATACTGGTAAATGCTTAATAATTGATACCCCTTCTTCCCAAAAAAGCCCTGATTTGTAGCATTTGCTGATTTCCAGGGTGGACTGCAAGTTGTCAATAGTTTAACCAGCCAAGAATCCTGATAGTGTACCAGTTAGGCTGTCCTGAGCTGGTTCCTGCATGACGCTGGAAAGACTATGTTTTAAGGTGGAGAAAATAAGTCTAAAGTCTGTAAGATGAGAAAGGAGGGGGCATCCCATTGAAGACAAGTAATGAGGTTCAGTGTGACCAGAGTTGATGGGCCAATGGTCTGATGAAGTTGGGGAGTTAAACTGGACCTTGCAGGTCAAGTCAAAAAATTTTTATCTTAACCTAAGATTAATCTAGATTGATCAGTATTTTAATCTGAGGGCAATAGGAAGACACTGAAGGGATTTAAGCTGAGGAAAGACGAGATTAGGGTCATATTCTCAAAAGCTCATTCCTGCTGCAGTGTGGAGAATGAACTGAAGGGCTGTAGAGAGACCAGTTAGGAGGCACGGTACTGCTTTAATCCAGAAAGGCCTGCCGTTCACAGCAGTCAAAACGGTAGCAAGTGGGGAGGTAGAGAAGTTGATGGATTTAATGAATATTCAGAAGAAAAGGACAAAGGGAGGAGGAGGAATCAAAGAGGAATCCTGGAATTTTTGCATGAAAATCCAGGCAGAATCAATGCCATTTAATGAGAGGCAACAATGAAGAGGAATGTGGGGTGAAGATTAGTACGTTCAACAAGTGTCTGTGAATGTCTGCATTTCGCCAGGCCAGCCAAAGTCCCTGTTCCCATGGTGTTTACATTCACATGGTGGGAGACAAAGGGAAATACTCTACAGGTATCTTGTATGCCCAATTACAAAAACTGTTTTCCCCAAAATTATTCCTGAAAGGAAAGCTGCCTTATAACTTTAAAAAGCCAAACTAAAGAGTGCTTGTGCAACTATTTTAATTTAAATAATACACATTTTGAAAGGACACATATGCTGGAATTGACCTTAATTAATACTAGTTTTGAATACTTTTCAGAGGGCTTCTGAAAGAATCAGTAAAAGGGGAAATTTCAGATTTGGTAATTTAGTAATCTTGGTGAGGGTATTCACTTACAATTACAGTTTAGATGTCATTATAAATGGAAGGAGGTAAAGCAGACTGCAGCGAATTGGCCTGGAGCCAATGGAAATAAGTCTTCATAAAGGTCACTCAAATAAAGCAATAGTTATTACAATTTCAATTATACTGTTAAGAATTAACTTTTTTAATTACCGAAATTACAATTATACCGAAATTACAATTATACTCTTAACTTTTTTTAAAAACCAAAAAACCCTGCCCTAATGCGTGCAAACGGTATTTTGGGTTTGTTACAGAATCTCCAGTGAGGCATTAGAAGGAATTCTTTGTATCTCAAATAACTTTAGGAAAGCTGATAAGCTTTGGAAAAATACATGATTCATAAACTAGTTCCAGTGATAACAAAGATGCTGGTGTCAAAATGCATGTGAAGACTTGAATTAACTTGTTTCATAATGTGTGAGATGGAAAAGTATTTCTAATTAATATTTGATATAATATTATATAATTTTAAGTGTATGTTTATGTCACACATATAAAATATAAGTAGATGTTTGATTACATCATGCATCTGGCAGACTGCTGGCTTCTGACTACTATCAATTCCCTCCTTCCTCCTTAAGGAATCCCAGTTCTATCTGGAACAGCGATGTGCCCAGCTGAATGTCTGTACTTCCTAGGAGTCACTTGTGGTATGTGGTCATGAGACGTAAGCAAAGTCTGGTCATGAGACAGAAGCAGCAGTGTTGTGCGGACCTTCAGAAAGCGCTGTAAGTTAAGGCGCTCCCTTATAGTTTCTGTGAAAGAATCCGCTTTCGATCCCTAGTCCCCTGGTGAGGATGCCAACACTGTATGCTGAACCCAGAGCTCTCCCTTCAGACCCAGGTTGAGATCTTACATTCAACCACCTAGGATATTGCCACTTGGATGCACACCAAATTTAGCGTGCTTAAAGCTGAATGCGTTTTCCTTGTTTATTCTTCTGCATTTTGTATGCATCTAAATCTGCCACTCTAGACAGCCAAGTCAGAAACTTGGTCATCCTACATGCCGCGCCCTACCTTACCATCAATCTCTCTTCAGTCCCAGAGTACTGCCTTTCTCATGAACATCTCTCCACGACATTCCGGTGCTACTGGCTTAACTCAGGACATCACCATATACTCTCTGGAGGATAATTGTTTCCTATTAGGTCTCACTGCTTCCAGGCTCAGTCCTAACAATCCACGTTCCATACTTCTGCCAGCTTATCTCAGTATTTTCAATTTTACCGTCTTGCTGAAAACCTTTCAGCGACTCCTCAGCTAAAGCCCAAACTCCTTTCCATGGCACAGAAAGTCTTACAGAATATCATCCCACCCTTCTGTCTAACATTATCCCACTTTGTCTACCTGACAAACTCCTACTCATCTTTCACATCCTAGCTCAAGTGGCTTTTGTAAACCCTCCTCTAACCACCTCAGTCAAAAACGATCACTTTCTCTTTTATGCCACCGCGGTACCTTGTGACTATGGTATGTTTTGTATCACTTCTCATTCTGCCATGTAATTTTTGGTCTGTTTCGCTCTCTTGAATATAGACCTAAAAACTAAAAAACGTTTGCTGGATGAATATTTCCTTCTTTTCTTCTATTCGTTTACTACAATACAAACTTCTGGAACACAACTTGTTTTTAAATTGAAGGGGGAAATTCCAAATCTGGAATTCTAGTTTAAGCAATACCTTTCAGTCAATTATAGTGTTTGTAGTAGAAATGACATGGAAGTTTGAGTCAAAAAGCCTGGGTTTTGCCACTCACTCGGCAAACTTGCACAAATTATTCAACCATTCTGAGCTCCAGTTTCTTCAACTGCAAAATGGGGGTAAAAACACTAAACTTACCAGATTGTTGCAAAGGTTAGTGATAAATGGATAAATGTGCCAAAAGCTAAAACCAGCACACAGGAGGCACTACTGCTTTGGGAAAACACTTTGTAAAGGAGCAGACAAATGCTAATAACAATAATAGCACTTGTTAGGAGCCAAGCATTTTGCTAAACATCTTAGATATTTCATTTAATCTTCATAACAAACCCATCAGCTATTCAACATTATTTTCATTTTCAAAAATACATATTATATGTGTCAAGCACTGTGACCGTTTTGCAGAAAAGGAAACAGGCTGAAGAAGGTTAAGTATTTTGCCCAATGTCATATAGCTGGTAAGTGGCAGAATTGGAGGCTGAACATAGACAGCTAATTAGAGGCCAAATCAGGGGAGGATTCAGGTTTTGTAGCATCATAAACTTACACAATTTTAGGGGCTCTAAGAATACAAAACATCTACTTTTGAAAATATATGACCATGTGAACATACTGCTGGAGTATCTCAGAGTTAAAACAGTGATTGTATCAGTATATTTCTTTAAATTGAAATATGGGAATAATACTGTCTACTGCATTAGAAAAAAATGAGGATAAATAAACATGAAGATATTGAAAATTAGGAAAAAATTGCCTATTTTGGAAATTTATTGTGCTTTACAGATGAATCTTGATTCTGTTGAAGAACTGTGTGTCTACTGAATAACCCAAATTAATTCTACATTCTTCTCCATGAAATTTTTCTGACACCAATGCCCCTCCATTGAGTGATCTTTCTTTTTCCCTTTGCCTTATAAAATCCTCCCTAATAGCAATTATTTTATTGCCTTATAGAGAATTTTTCACACTTCTAGCTTCCAAAACTGTCCACATGCCTTACAATCTGGGATTAGATCTCTTCATCCTTTTAACACCTCCTAGCAGGGACGCAGTATCCAACAAATATTGGTATAAATGAAAAATATATAAAAAACTAAAAAAAAAATCTAATCAAGAATATTTGAGAAATGTCATCATCAGTAGCATATTATATTAACATTAAAACACTATTTTAAGTGAAGGGAAATAGACATTTAACCAATTTATCCTCTGTTTAGGGTTGAGGAGTTGTCACCAATCCTGTTTCCAAAATTCAGGTCCTTCCCGGAACCTTAGAAAGTGACCTTAGTTGGAAACAAGGTTGTTTCAGATATAATTCGTTAATATGAGGTTATACAATAGTGGGGGTGGCTTAATTCAATATGACTAGTGTTCTTCTAATAGGAGGCACAGCCATGGATACATGAGAAGAGAGAACTAAGGGTCTTTGATAGGAGAAGAGATTAAAGTTCTCAAGGGGCAAGCCAAGGAGTGCCAAGGATTGCTGGCAACCACTAGAAGCCAGGAAGAGGTAAGGAAGGATTGTTCCCTACAGATTTCAGAGGAAGTATAACCCTGCTGTCACCCTAATTTTGGACTTCAAGCCTCCAAAACTGTGAGACAATACATTTCTGATGTTTTAAGCCACCCAGTTTGTGGTTCTTCGCTACAGTAGCCCTGGGAAACTAAATACCCTCACAGTAAATATTTTGGTTAATTAATCAGGCTCATATTTTCTTCACTGCACTATCGCTCTGTATGAGATGATCGGATTTTCTTGTTTACTGGCAGTTTTGCTCCTGTCTGTCTTGTTCCTTCTTGCATTACCACCCCCACCCCGTCGCCCCTGACAGGTTTCTTAGCACATCACAGGCCCTGGGGAAGTGTTTGTGGATGAGTGAATAAACTAAGCCAACTATATTCCACAGCGATGCCCGAAGGACATGAAAGGAAAAGATAATATCGCAAACCATAAGGGTATTTTTCATTTGATTGAGATTAAAAAAAATAAAACCCCAGGACTTTAAAAAACGTGAATGAATTTTAATGAACACACCAGAACTTGTACTTTCAAGTGAGTTTTTCCCTTTTCATAGCAGCCACTTATCACCTAAAGAGTTATTCTAGTAACTCTGCTATGGCTTAAAACTTTTTTTGGATCTCTTCATTTAAAACTGCTAACAGAGCCTGTACTCATAGGGTAGATTTGATTTCGAGAAACAACCAAAAGTCATTTGAAACTAATCCTAGTAAATCAAGCCAGTGATAAAGCTGGATATTTAAAAATGATGTGTGCCTACTAAAAAAGAGGTTGGTTTTCTAAAGAGAGACTGAATTTTCAAAATTGAAAAGTTCTCTGTGACAGGATACCGAAGATGAGCTAACTTAGGGCGATGGGAAACGCAAAAGTTCCTCTTAAAAGATTGATCATTCGAACCTTTTTTATTATTCTCAAAGAAAACGACGTCAGTAAGTAATGGCGTGTTCGTAGGAATCTATGCTCAAGTGGGAAAAAATGTAAAGTCAGCAGAGATCCAAGGGTCTCCCCACCCCCATACCAACCATGACGAAATCATCCTTCCGATAGGCCTGAAACGTCTGGTCAAAGCCGAAGGCCTGCGCCTTGATCCTGCCCAGCATGGACCTGGGGCAGAAGAGGGAGAAGGAGTCAGCCCGGGACGGCACCCTCTCGAGAGCACATTCAGCGGTTCCACCCACGGGGTCCGCCCCTCGCCCGGTTCCTGGGGCCCCCGGGTTTCACTCAGGAGGAGGCCGACCCGGCCCCGCCGCCTCCACGCCCGGCCCGCGCCTCCGCAGCCGCGAAGGCCAAGGGGCTCTTCTCTCCCTGCCGCTCGGCCTCTCACCACTGGCGGAGCCGGCTGGTGGTCTCCGGGGTGCTCAGAGACTGGAAGGTTTTCTGAGGCAGGTATCTGAAGTAGTAGCCGCCCAGATCCCCCGGCTCCCCGGCCGCCATCGCGGTCCCCGCCGCGCGGAAGCGGAGGCCGTTTCCATAGC